GCTTTTGTTTTAAATTCTCAGTGAGATTTTTTTTTTTAAAAAAAATTGATTTGAGAGAGAGAGGAAGGGAGAGAGAGAGAGAGAGAGAGAGAGGCTTTGAGAGAAATATCGATTTGTTGTTGCACTTATTTATGCATTCATTGGTTGATTCTCATATGTGCCTGACTGGAATCTTGGTGTATTGGGACGATGCTCAGCGCAACTGAACTCGCGGCCAGGGCTGACACAGCTTTCTTAAGAGCCAGTGTTTTTTTTTTTTTTTTTTTAATATATTTTATGCCCTTGACCAGAATCGAACCTGGGACCTTCCAGTCCCCAGGCCGACGCTCTATCCACTGAGCCAAACCGGCTTCGGCAAGAGCCAGTGTTTTGTGTGAACTTTTGGGTCTCAGCCTCCCTGTTTGAACCACCACTGTGGGCTCCCCTACACCATGCCCCACTTTTTATTTTGAAATAATTTCAAGCTGACAGTAAAGTTGCAAGACTGTCTAAAGGGCACTTGTATACTCTTCCTGCAGATGTACCAAATGTTAACATTTGCCTTATTGTGTGTGTATATATTTTTTAACTACTTGAGTGTCATAGATATGATACTCCTTTGCCCCTAAATACTTTCTCCTAAGAAGAAGGACATTCTTTTGCCTACTACACGGTAGTGAGCAAATTATGGAAGTAACGTGGATACAACGCTATCGTGTGATCCATGGGCCCGAGTTCATATATCACCATTGTCTCAGGATTGCCCTTCATAACTGTTTTTTTCCCCTGGGCCATGATCTAATCCAAGACTGCACATTGCATTCAGTCGTTCTGTCTCTTGGCCTCAGTATTAGTGTCCTAGGGCGGCATGAAGATTGCCACAAACTGGGTGGCATGAAACAGCAGAAATGTATTCTCTCACAGTTCTGGGCCACAGCCTGAAATCGAGTGTGGGAGGGCCGCACTCTGGAGGTCGAGGGGAGCCCTTCCCGCCTCTTCCTGCTTCTCCTCATGGCTGTTGGCCATCCTCGGTTTCCTTGGCTTGTGGCCCCATCCCTTCACATGGCCGTCTCGGAGGCTCCTCTCTCTCATAAGGAAGGTTGTCACGGGACTTAGGGCCCCTGGGATGATCCAAGATGATCTCATCTCAAGATCCTCAGTTGAATTACATGGGCCAAGACCCTTTTCCCAGAGTCACATTCCAGGTTCCAGGTGGACGTCTCTTCTGGGGCCGCACTCAGCCTACCAGAGCCTCCTCTAAGCTGGACCAGCTTCTCAGACGTTCTTTGTTTGGGGCATTGACATTTTGAAGTTGTGGCCACTTATTCTGGAGAACGGCCCTCAGCGTTTCCTTGTGGTTGGGGACGGGGAGCCCCCAGGGCAGTGGTGGGCCCTTACGTGGCATCAGGAGGCTCCTGACATCCCGCCCCTTTCCTGTGGCCCAGATCGCGGAGGCTGCTCAGGACCCAGCTTCCGGATGGCCAGGGGGTCGCTGCGGCACAGCGGATGCTCCGTGGGCTCGGGCCTGCCGGGGACCTGGCCCGGGTTAGACACTTTCCATGGCTTATTTCCATCTTCACAGCCTGGGAGTGAGGCTTATGATCCCCATTTCACAGATGGGGAACTGAGCTCAGAGAGGCTGAGTGATCAGCCAGGGACGAAAACAGCCAGTACGGGCGGGAGGCCTGTTGTCTGTCTTTGCCAAGGCATCTGTCCTCTCCGGGTAAACTGAGCAATGAGCCATCCTGCCGTGGGTTTTGGATTTTCTGTTTTAAAAAAATCCAAAGCACCCCTTAGTGTCTTTGTGAGACTGAGATGTGGGGGGCAGGAGGAGGCTTCGGGCCACGCAAGGGAGTGAGTGTGGGCCCGAGGTTTAAGTGTGTGATTGGGGAAGCAGGTGGACTCGGGTCACGTGGCGAGTTGCTTCACCTCTCTGAGCTTTCTCCTCATTTGTAAATGGTGGTGATGACAGCACCGACCTCATGGAGTTGTCAGGAGCTTACCGCCTGTGCGGGGCCCAGCGTGGTGCTGGGCAGTGACCTCTTAGCTTCCAGAACCCTGCAGATGGCTGGCCCAGTTCGGCTCAGAGAGGGGAGGGACTTGCCCGGGTCACACAGCCACAAGGACCAGAGCTTCCAGTGCCCAGCTCAGTGCCTTAGCCGCCCCTCACACCTGAAGGCAGAGCCCCAGGGCTCACGGGTTTGTCTGCTTGTCTAGGTGGAGCTTAATCGGATCAGGGAAGGTGACTGAAGGAAGAAAGGGAGGGAGGGAGCAGGATTACTTGGGAACTTGACTCCGAGCTTCCTGGCAGCCAGAGTGAAAAGGGAGGCATGCTCCGTCATGTAGCTTTCTGCATCCTCCCTGTTCCTCGGGGCAAAGGGAGGTTTCCAGTGACTCATACTGCCCTGACGGGCTCCAGGAGTCTGGTTTTTGTAACTGCTCCCAGGCGGCACCAGAATGCACGCTGGGGTTCCCTGGGTGCAGAGGTGAGAGGGGGCTCAGAGGGAACCAGCTGGTGTTGGCGGGAAGGGCAGGTGACAGCCCCTCCCCGTGCCCGCACTGACCTCTGGGTCTGTCCCTGTCCTTTCAGTTGGGCCACGTGGTCCTCTCCCCAGTCTGGTTCCTCTACAACCTGCTCATGAAGCTGTTCCAGCGCTCCACCCCGGCTATCACCCTCGAGAGCCCGGACATCAAGTACCCGCTGCGGCTCATAGACAAGGAGGTGAGTGCGACCTGCGGGGTCACAGGGCGTGGGCCCCCAGGGGCACCTCTCCCCTTGTCAGCGTCACAGCATTTCCCTGGCGCCTGCTCTGTGCTCAGGACACGGCCCCCTCTGAAGCACAGGTCCTGTTATCTGCCCATTTAAGAGGTGGGGAAAGCAAGGTGATGTCAGTTTCTATGGTTACCAGTAAGTGGCAGAGGGATTTGAACCCAGGTTTCTGGCCACAGAGCACATTCTCTGAACCACACTCACTGTCCCACAGAAGGTCCGAGGGGGAGGGACCCCTCAGGACTTTCGAGTCCAGGCACCCATTTAACAGATGGGAAAACAGAGGGCGAGAGAGGAGTGGAGGGCATTTAGGTCACACTGTCAGCTAGAGGTGGAGCCAGGACTCAGGCTGTGGCCTCCGGGTGGTCCCAGGTGCTTCCACTCCCAGTGCCTCTTCCTTGAAGACAAGGGCTCTTCTCCACCTGCCCCTCCACCCCCCCTCCTCCCCGCCCTCCGAGAGGTTCGCTCTGGCCCTCCTTTGACGTTTCCCTTTTTAACTTCTGCTCCTGACTTAAAGCCGTCCCTCCCTCCTTTGCCCTGTGCCCCTTCCCCTTCCCGATCCAAGTCCCTCGCGGTGCTGTTTCTGGTCACGGGGAGACGGAGTCACGGAGCACGGACAGTCTCAGATCTCCCGGCACAGGGCCGGGCTCCCTGCGCTGGTGGGAGGTGTGGGTGATTGTGCCGAGTCCATAGGAGAGATTAAAACCTGAGAGAGGGGAGGCCACTCCTCCCAGCGAGACCACACTGTTCTTCCTGATGTTCCGTACACACTGTCTTCTTACTCAAATGAAATCATAAGGTTTTGAAATCCTTTCTTTTCTTAAACTTCATTTCTTAAAATTCATTTTCCTTGCTTTTTAATTCCAGTAATGTATGATTTATATGTGCTCACCATAAAAATTCTGTGTGTGAAATGTGAGTGATCCCCCTGACACCCCATATTCGGGCAGTGGGTACCACTCACCAGGCCGCATCCCAACCTTACACTGTGCAGTGGGTCTCATTCACCGGCCCCCCCCAACCCCACACTGTGCAGTGGGTCCCACTCACCAGTCCCCCCCAACCCCACACTGTGCAGTGGGCCCCACTCACCAGCCCCCCACCCTCACACTGTGCAGTGGGTCCCTCTCACCAGCCCTCCAACCCCACACTGTGCAGTGGGCCCCACTCACCAGCCCCCCACCCTCACACTGTGCAGTGGGTCCCTCTCACCAGCCCTCCAACCCCACACTGTGCAGTGGGCCCCACTCACCAGCCCCCCACCCTCACACTGTGCAGTGGGTCCCTCTCACCAGCCCTCCAACCCCACACTGTGCAGTGGGCCCCACTCACCAGCCCCCCACCCTCACACTGTGCAGTGGGTCCCTCTCACCAGCCCTCCAACCCCACACTGTGCAGTGGGCCCCACTCACCAGCCCCCCACCCTCACACTGTGCAGTGGGTCCCTCTCACCAGCCCTCCAACCCCACACTGTGCAGTGGGCCCCACTCACCAGCCCCCCACCCTCACACTGTGCAGTGGGTCCCTCTCACCAGCCCTCCAACCCCACACTGTGCAGTGGGCCCCACTCACCAGCCCCCCACCCTCACACTGTGCAGTGGGTCCCTCTCACCAGCCCTCCAACCCCACACTGTGCAGTGGGCCCCACTCACCAGCCCCCCACCCTCACACTGTGCAGTGGGTCCCTCTCACCAGCCCTCCAACCCCACACTGTGCAGTGGGCCCCACTCACCAGCCCCCCACCCTCACACTGTGCAGTGGGTCCCTCTCACCAGCCCTCCAACCCCACACTGTGCAGTGGGCCCCACTCACCAGCCCCCCACCCTCACACTGTGCAGTGGGTCCCTCTCACCAGCCCTCCAACCCCACACTGTGCAGTGGGCCCCACTCACCAGCCCCCCACCCTCACACTGTGCAGTGGGTCCCTCTCACCAGCCCTCCAACCCCACACTGTGCAGTGGGCCCCACTCACCAGCCCCCCACCCTCACACTGTGCAGTGGGTCCCTCTCACCAGCCCTCCAACCCCACACTGTGCAGTGGGCCCCACTCACCAGCCCCCCACCCTCACACTGTGCAGTGGGTCCCTCTCACCAGCCCTCCAACCCCACACTGTGCAGTGGGCCCCACTCACCAGCCCCCCACCCTCACACTGTGCAGTGGGTCCCTCTCACCAGCCCTCCAACCCCACACTGTGCAGTGGGCCCCACTCACCAGCCCCCCACCCTCACACTGTGCAGTGGGTCCCTCTCACCAGCCCTCCAACCCCACACTGTGCAGTGGGCCCCACTCACCAGCCCCCCACCCTCACACTGTGCAGTGGGTCCCTCTCACCAGCCCTCCAACCCCACACTGTGCAGTGGGTCCCACTCACCAGCCCCCCACCCCCACACTGCAGTGGGTCCCATTACTGTCAGCCTGAGCCTTCTCGGGCATCACGTCTGTATGCACCTGGTGGTGGAGGCCCAGGTGTGCATACCCGGAGTTTTAATAGCCTTTCTCACCGGCCATATGGCATGGACACTTTCCCATGTCTACCCCAAAGCTGATTCTTTCTTTTTAAAAAATATATTTTTATTGACTTCATAGAGGAAGGGAGAGGGAGAGTAAGATAGAAACATCAATGATGAGAATCAGTGATCGGCTGCCTCCTGCACGCCCCACACTGGGGACTGAGCCTGCAGCCCGGGCCTGCGCCCTGACTGGGAATTGAACCGTGACCTCCTGGTTCATAGGTTGGTGCTCGACAACTGGGGCACACCGGCCGGACTGATTCCTCATTTTTGACGACTACCTAGTATATGGTCATAGGGATGTCACACCGTAGACCTCCAGTCCCCTTCGATGAGCAGCCGGCAGATGTCCGAGCAGTAGCCTGATGGCTTTGCACGGTCAGCAGGGGTCCTGCTTTTGACACTTCTGCTGTGCTCCCCACGGGCCCGGGAAGGGCCTGCTGCTGCCCTTCTCTCTGAACTGGACCTGACAGGTGACCCGAAGGTCCCCGAGGCGCTGGGTCTGCTCTCAGATCACCGCGGCCAGCAGCCTCCTGGTGCCGGCCCCGTGCTGAGCCGTCCCCAGATCTGGCCTGACCGCTGGGCCCTGAGCGAGGGTGCCAGTGCAGTCATTCTCGATGCCTCTCATTTCTGTTCTTCCTCCACAATTGTCTGGTGTGTGCGTTTCCGGCCGTGAGCCTCAGGACCAGCCGGTAATTCTGGAATCTGCTCCCAGGAGGCCTTGGGGCTCTGTTGCCCAGAGGGCAAAGGCTTCTGGGGAGGCAGCTGCAGGCCTGGGCTGCTGGGGTAGAGAGGCCCCAGCCACCAGCAGCCCCATGTCCTGAGCCGGGCTGGGAGCCATCTTTCCTGAGACCCAGGCCACCCGCCTCGCTCACACGCTCCAGTGATGCTCAGAGCTGCTCGTCCCCCTGAGGAGTCTGTGCCACCCGCCCGCTGAGAACGCCGCCTGTGGGTGGGCCTGACCAGTCTCCCGGCCGCCTGTGAA